TCAGGATTTCATTAATATGTTTTACTGCTTCATCAAGCACATTTTTTTATTGTAGATAAAAACACATAACAAGGATAGCCTTAACACATTTTTAAGTAACAGTACCGTATTGTTAAGGATAAGCACAATGTTGTACAACATATCTCTGGATCTTTTTCGTCTTGTGTAACTGAAGTTTTATACCCATTGAATAGCAACTCCCCATTTGTCTTTCCCTGTAGTCCCTGGCAAACACTGAAATTATATTTTTTGCTTCTGTGAGTTTGATTCCCTTAGATACATCTCGTATAAGTGGAATTGTGCAATATTTATGCTTCTGTGACTGACTTATTTCACTTTGCATACTGTCCTCAAGGCTCATGTATGTTGCAATATATGACAGGAATTCCTTCTTACAGCTGAATAATATTCATTTGTATGTATATGCCACATTTTCTTTATATGTTCATCTGTTGATGTACATGTAGGTTATTTCTACTTTTTGGCTATTGTGAATAATGCTGCAGTGAACATGGGAGTGCAATACCTCTTTTTTTTTTTTTTTTTAAGTAGGCTCCACGCTCAACTTGGGGCTTGAACTCAGGACTCTAAGATCAAGAGTTGCACACTCAACCCCATGAGCCAGCCAGGTGCCCCTCAGAAATACCTTTTTGAAATCCTGATTTCAGTTCTTGTGAATAAATACCCAGAAGTGGGATGGCTGGATTATAATTCTATTTTTAATTTTTTGAGGAACTTCCATACTATTTCTCATAGTGGCTGTACCATTTTACATTCCCAGCAACAATGCACAAGGGTTCTAGTTTTTCTACATCCTCCCTAATACTTATTTTATTTTTTACATTTATTTATTTTTGAGAAACAGTGAGACAAAGCGTGAGCGGGAGAGGGGCAGAGAGAGAAGGAGACACAGAATCCGAAGCAGGCTCCAGGCTCTGAGCAAGCAGTCAGCACAGAGCCTGATGTGGGGCTCGAACCACTGAGATCATGACCTGAGCCGAAGTCGGACGCTCAACCGACTGAACCACCCAGGCACCTTATGTTTTATTTTTTTTAAGAATTAATTTTTTTGCAGCAGTTTTAGATTTACAGAAAAAATGTGAGGAAGGTACAGAAATTTGCCATTTACCCCTTGTTCCCACGTGCATAGCTATCTGCCTTATTTTCAACATTCTCCACCGGAGTGGTACCTTTGTTACAATTGATGCATCTATATCAACACATCACAATCACCCAAAGTTCATAGTTTACCTTTGGCTTCACTCTTGGTGTTGTACATTCTAAGGGTTTGTATAAGTGTATAATGACATGTGTCCTCCATTAGGGTATCAGGGTATTTCTACTGCCCTAAATATCCTCTGTGTCTGCCTGTTCATCTCTGGCTGTCCGCAACCCCTGGCAGCCACTGATCTTTTTGTTTGGTTCTTTTTAAATATTTTGTATCCTTTTGTTGAAGATCTCATTTTATTCATGCATCATTTTCCTGAACTCATTGAGCATCTTTATGATAGTTATTTTAAATTCTTCATCAGGTAACTCATACACCTCTAATTCTTCAGGGTCAGTTTTTGGAGACTTATTTTGTTCCTTTTATTGGGCCATTTTCCCTGTTTCTTTACATCCTTTTAATTTTGTACTTGTATGACTGTATTTGAAAAAACACTCTTTTCTTCCAGTGTTTATGGATTGGCATAGTACAGGGAAAGGCCTTAACCAATCATCCTGGCTATTGGATCATCTGGGGGCTTCTCAAACCTTCTCTGTGGATATGTCTTTTGGACTTATGTGTATAGATTCCATATTAAAGGTATTTTCCAGTTTTTTCCAGAAGCTTGTACTCATTGCTTGGACTCCTTTGGTGTCCATCTGTTGTCCTGTGCAGTGGCAGCATACCATCCAGCTCTTTTTTGTTTTTAGTGGCCCCCAGGCGGCTAGAGTATGTTGGGTACTGTCAGTGCCCTAGGTCAGGCTAAACAAGTCCTTCAGGCAGTCCACCCAAAAGCTGGAACGTTGGGCACATGCTCCAGTCTTCTCTTTGTCCCCTGAGGGAGAGGTTGCTGAGCTGTATTGGTTTCTGTTTGCTGTACTGTGGATTCTCTGGATCTGCAGCTCACCACCCAGCTGTTTTTTGTTGTCAGCAGGTCTCGGGCACCTAGAGTACGCCAGATCCTTCTGTGCTTCTGATGTTACGGAAAGAAACTAGTCTCTCTGGCAGCAGCCCCCACCCCAAGTCAGAATGTTAGATGTAAAGTCCAGTCTTCTCTTTCCCTCCCCAGGGAGAATTCGGGAGCTGGGAGTTTTTTTTTCCAGTTGTGTGGTGCTGTGCCAGGAGGAGGGACAATGGTGAAAGGGTGACATGAATTTTATTGCTGGCTTTGATGCAGTTGTTTTAGTGCTCACCTGAGCCTCTTAAGTGGTTTCTGAATTTCTCATAAAGGGACTTGGCATGTATATTGTTGTTGAGTTGGTGTTTCTGTAATTTTTATCCTCTCTGGGAGGAAGGAAGGCCTGGGGCTTCCTGTTCTGCCATCTTGCTGATGCCACTCCAATTAAGTACCTTTTTAAGTGAAATGAAACCAGCTCTTGTTTTGTGAATGGTCATGAAAAATAAAATGAAACAGTTTAGTGACATCTTACATGGGACTGGCTTTATGCTTTCCTTTGATCTCTTGATCACGAAGAATCAGTGAGGCAATTTGATGCAAGTGCCTTTGATACGTGCTAAGGTGCCAGCAGTCTTTCCTTCCTTTTATTTTGAACCGTTAGTGCAAATGTTAATACCGCAAAGAGGGGAAATGATGTCTTAGTATTATTATGAATATGGTTTTGACCTTGCAGAACTCTAGTAAGTGTCTTGGGGATTAGGGATTCGTGAACCACACTGTGAGAGCTGCTGTGTTACCAAATTATAACTGTTCCCTTCTATCCTTATTTTTGAATCTTTTTAAAAAACTAGTGTGGGGCACCTGGGTGGCTCTGTTGTTTAATTGTCCGATTCTTGATTTCAGCTCAGGTTGTGATCTCACCATTTGTGGGATTGAGCCCCGTGTCATCAGGCTCCTCCTTGTTCACAACTTGGAGCCTGCTTGGGATTCTCTCTCTCTCCCCTCTCTTTCTCCCCCCACCCCTCCCCCCCCCGCCATGAATAAATACAGTTTAAAAAAACCTAGTGAATGAATGTTGAATTTTGCCAAGTGTCTTTTATGCATCTGTTAACTCATGATTTTTAAAAGTCAGTTTGATGTGGTGAATTAATTTGAACCAACTTTGTGTATTTGGGATAAACTCACATTACTTTTGAGGGATTTCAATATTATTTTTCCATTTATCTAGATATTTAATACTGCACATGTTTAAATATCACAGGACCCTACCATTTATCTAGATATTTAATACTGCACATGTTTAAATATCACAGGACCCTATTATTAACTATCAGTTAATATTCATTTAGAATTACCCATGTACCTGCCACTTTTTCCTCATTTCTTGTTGTAGCTCTAAAGTTCTCTCTAATAATTTTATCCTGCCTAAGAAATGTCCTTAAGTATTTATTTTAGTGCGTGAACTCAGTTATTGTTTGTCTGAACTTCAGTCATTACTTTGTCTTTTCTTGGAACTATGTTTTTTGAGTATAGAATTTTTAGGTGGGCAGGTACTTTGTTTCAGCACTTTGGATGTATCTTTCCACGCTCTCGTTGAGAAGTCCTGAAGATAGTCCCC